TTTCTTGAACGGCTTCAAATGGGGCAGAGCATTAGATTTTGATGGATTTGCCTCGTCCTTCTAAGGAGAGTGCATCTCTGCTGGGTTACAAAAAGCTGAGGCCAGCAACACTGGGGAGGGAAAAGTGAGAAGGTGTGGGGAAAAAAGGTTAAAAAACTGTCTCCGTATGGCCCGATGAAGTGCTCTGTGCTTTCACAAAGTCAATAGGAAGCTTTGGCAAGCAAGTGTTCACAGCTGGTCTCTGAGCTGCTAACGGTATGTAGTGGTGCAATAAAGGGGCTTTATACATTAATTTCCTAAGTGTCGTCTTGATTTGCAGCAGGAAGCGCAAGCAAAACAATGTCAAACACATTAGCCCTGAAGGTGCCTTTGGAGCAGCGCTCGGCAGCCTGCCCTTGCCCGGGTGCTCCGAACTCTTCAGCTGGGGAGGTGCTTGCCTGGGGAAGAGACTATTTCAGAGCACGTCTTTAGGGCTGAAGCAGCCCGAATTACCGTGGTAGCAGCCTACTGAGGGATGCATATGTTATGGAAACACTTAGTCATCTCTAGTGAGATTCTAATCTGAAATATCTGACCTTCCTATGATTCAAAAATAGTGAGACGCCAGCAGAGAGGATGGTCACCGCACGAGGAGTAGCAGAGGGGCCCGTATGACCTGTGCGTGGGGAAGCAGTGCCGACTAACACGCCTGCTCCACCCGGCTCTTCCCACCCAGGAGATGGTCTACAAGGCTTTGGAGGAGCTCAGCTCTCTCCAGGCTTCATCTGTCTCCCCATAGGGTGCTCTGAAGAGTTTTAATCCCCTTGCTAGGAATTTGGTAAGAGATTCTGTTATTTCAGCCTGGGGACAAGTCTGCTTATTTGTAAAGAAGCAAAGTGAGTTCTGTTTCAGACAGGGGGTGATTTCAGGAGAAACCATGCTGAAGCGTACTCATATGCAAATCATCGGATGTTTGTCAGATATACTGTTCATTACACCTCAGTGAAGCACTACGGACAACCATTACTTTGATGTGATAAGCAGGGTGACATTAAAGGTGAATAGTAGAGTGTGCTATTAAGATAGAGTTTAAAATGTACTTACGGAAAGGAATAGAGTCTCCACAGAGGGTGCCATTTAAGAACAGTCCATCTAAAGAACATTCCCCTAAAGCAAAACATCAAAGAGAGGATAGGAAATATGTTTTAGGCCACGATTCTGGAAAGAAATCAAAGACATATGAATTTCATTAAATCACCAAGGAGTTTAAGAAGTAGATTCAAAATGTACATGAAAATATTGCAGTAAGTGAAAAGGGAAAACAAAATATCCAGTGACTGGAGAAAAATAGAGAAAAGAAGATGCAGAAAAAAGGATAATTCAGAAATTGCTTAGGGAAAGATGTTACTCTGGTAGATGGAAAGACATGTATGTGGGAAGCAGATTTTGCTCCTATCTGACCACAAAAACAAGCAAAGACTTTTCCCAGAACCAACCTGTTCATAAATATGATCTTTCAACCTTGACAAACTACTTATGGGACATTTTATAGAAAAAAAAAAAAAAAAAGGCAGTCGAAGCCTTCTCCTCTGTGTACTCATTGTTTCTCCTAGACTGAGCCAATAAGCAAGTTTACAGGAATGAAAACATTGCCTTCAATCGTTTAACTACCTGTTAGCAAAAGTACACGCTTTTGCAATATATCAATAAATCACCCTCCTCTGAGTGTCTCAGTAACATTGCTACATTAGTAGGAATGACCACAGACCTTAACGAGAAGTTTTGCTCTGCCCTGGCACCCCGGCAGCCGCCCGCGTACGACTGCACCCCATGGCCGCGTGTGCAGAATGAGCCACGGCTCGTCGCGTTAAAAACTCAGCAGTGAAGGGGACCTGGGGAGGGAAGCCAGCGTCCTGGCGCCAGCCTGCAGCGTGCCCGGGGACCAGGCTCTCGGCAAAAGGGACCGAACAAAGGCAGACCCTCGGTAAGTACCCTTGTACCCGCTGCCTGCAAACCTACAGCGAGACCTTTCCCCTCGGCCGGTTGCTGTCGCGCCTCTGTGGCCGGGCTGCAGCTTGCGGCTGAGGGAGCAGCAAGGAAGGGGAAGAAGTGATGTGGAGACGGGCTCGGGGTTAGAAATGGTGGCTGGGGCATAATGTGACAGGGTTAGTGCTTTAGTCCCAGGGAGAAATAAGCATTTTTCAACATACAGACTGCCAGCACACAGTAAGTAGAACAGCTGCAGTGTAAAACCGTCTCTGTTTTATTTCCTGCTCAGTTCATCCCTTTCTCATTTACATTACTTTCTTTATAGCACAGGTTTGAAGGCTTATTTATCTTTTCTTGGAGCCAGTACTTTGTTTCACCTCGGTTGAAAGCAAGGAGTATTTTGTACTGCGAGTGCTCTAGCTAATGGTGCTGCAAGACTCCTCGGAGGTGGCGAGCGGGACCTCTCGCAGGGAAGGGAGAGGAGCTCGACTCTTCTTCTTCCCAGCTGCATTGTTCAGCTGGATGCTGCAGGGCTTCTTTAGTGCCTCTGTGCGACACAGTCAGTTAAAATGCTGCGAATGCTGTAAGAAAATACATGAGCAATGTTAATTATATCTATTCCATATGACTTCTTGATGAATAAAATCACTGAAGAACAAGGGTATCATCCAAATTGTATTCTGCGTGTCTTCATCACAGTTAGCTATATGGTGCTGCTGATATATGTTTCCGTACAAAAAATTAGATCCACTAATAAGTACTTCTACCCAGGACTGTGTCAACAGCTAATGGCTCAGGGAGTTGTGTACATAAAACCCCAGATGAATCAGACCGTGAATCTATGCTTACACTATCCTTTGATGACTGGTTAAGTGCACATGATCCTGGACGCTGTAGTTTTAGCTAAGGATCCACTATCAATGCATACTGTACTTAAAAATAGGGATATTTAAGGAGGTCATGATATGGACAGGAAACAATTACAGTTTCTGTTCATTTAGATGGTTGAACTCGGGGACAATTTAAGAGAGGAAGTGCCTCTGAAACACTCAGGTTAAACGCTGGACGGATTACTAAAGAAGCAGAGCAGGAAGAAAAGCTGCAACAGATAGGCTGTGGATGCTTTGTATAACTCAGGTATGGAAAAGAGTTTGTGCCTGAATTATACCATGTTTAAACCTGAGTTGTACACATTTACTGCTTAGGTAAGACTTTATCTGTCTAGACTTAACTGTATATCTTGGTGTACATAACTGCACAATTTTGTTGCAGAGCTGGGAGAAGAAAACTTGTTGGGTTGCTGACCTCACTGGCCCCGAGGAACCTATGCAAATTTACACCCATGAATAAACTGTGCAATTGTTATTATTAGCTAGTCGTGCTTCATTGAAGTCTAAATTTCCTGCCTGTCACATGCCAATATGCTGTGAATGGGTATTACTGTGCTCAGCTGTAAACTTTGTGTGCAATACATCTTTGCAGAGAGCATCCCCGCTCTTGCCTTATCTGGAGATGTTTGCAAGGTCAGTCTGAAAGATCTTCAGGCACCTAAATACAAGCAACTACTTCACTCAGGCATGTTTCTATTTCCTGATGAACAACCTATTGCAATATAGAGTTTGGATGCCTTTCCACCTCAGAGGTTCACCCCTTACATGTGCTCTGAGAATCCTAACACCTAGAAAAATAACACTAAAAGTGACAGCTGGAGATCATCTAACCCTCTGCTAGCCCCAGGCTGAATGAGTTTGTGTCTGCATCTGACCTGTTGCTCAAGACTTCTGGTGACGGAGAATCTACTGTTTCCCCTGGTGAGCTGTTCTAGTGCATAATTACCTTGCTGCAAAAAAATGTGCCTTAATATCTGGCCTAACTATCCTTTCTTTGATTAAGGGTACTATTTCTTGTCCTATTACCACAGACATGGATAACAGATCCTTCTTACTTAGCAGCAGTCAGTCTTTGAGGTACCCAAGTTTCTGATCATGACCTCCACCCACAGCCCTAACTCTTCCATAACCTTCCTTGTAAGTTCTGGATTTCAGCCCTTCCATCATTTGCATTGTTATTGTGTTTTCTCTGTTTGGTTCATGTCGTTCACAGAGCGTGATACCAATAACTCAACACTTCACAGAGTAGTTCAGTTTAGGGCTCCCCAGTATTGAATGCTCGAGACGAAAACCAGAGGCTTTGCAGGCAATACTGCTGTTTAATTCATTAGTTGCCATGGTCCTACTTACACCTGACATTTGGGAGCGCTTACCCAGGAACGGACAACTCTGATTTCTACTCATTCCTGAGCTTGTAGGTGTTTGGATCCACACTGTCCCTGTACCAGGAGAATGCTCTGGTTTTTAGATGGTTTAGGTAGCTCTGCCTTCAGCTGTAGTTGATCCACCCAGCTAGAAAAAGAAGATTCACTTGGCCGGAGGAAAAAAACTCAGGAGGGAGAAATGCAACCAAATGGTTATGGTATTGGAATGGGAATGGCCTTTGGTGTTGATGAATTTTTATAGTTGGCAGTCCTCATTCTTTTGTAGTATCAGTCAGTCTACTCTAAGAAGTTATAATTCAGGGCAAACCTAAACAGGGCAAAAAGTCTTGCAAGAGTTGACTCTTCTCTGTCAGACAGGGACAGGACTGATGTGTTCAGGTTCCGTCTGCACCATTATCTTGATTCCACATCACCAGGGGCAGGCATGCCTCTGTTTCATGAGAGCTGCAATAGGTATGATTCATCTAGAAAAATAAAACTCAAGCTTAAAAGGCCATGCATAGGTACTTACAGGATAAAGAGCAGAGCCTTAGTCATAATGAATTCACTAGGATCACGTAACTGGAACTACCTTTCTTCAGAACAGCCTTGGAATAAGAAATCACTGAATAAAAATTTCCATTCGAGGCAATGGAAAATTATGTCACATACACTGTGTACGTATATATAGGCAGGGAGGCGTGTGTGTCTGAAAGAGAGACCTGAATTCTAACCTGAATTAAAATGTTAAAAATAGTAGGATCCTGTTTAGCAGAGGTGACATAAGAGACCTCCTTAGTCTCCCAGTCTCCAGTAATGCACGCTATTCTTTAATGGCAGACTGCTCTGTTTTGATTCCCAGTACATCATCATGCATTGCAGTGCTTCATACCGCATTCTCCTTTCATCCCTCAGACATACCACTGTATCATTCTACCTTTTGGGCCAGTCATGCTGCTTTTGCACATCATCCTTATGTACTCAGCTGAGATGATTTATTCATGATAAGAGGAGGAGTTACATGTTTGGTGTGGGTATGGAGTGGGACTTACCAGCACAGTGCCCTTGTGAAAACCTGGGTTACTAATCTGTGTAATGCAACAAATAAAACACAGTTGATTTGACAGCAGGGTAAACAGAAATATTTTCATTTTCCTTTCAGCTAGTGAGTTTGCTGATGATCACTTTTTCTTTAAAATCTGTAATTTCTCTTGATATTTTAGCCACGATGGCGTTGCTTGATGAAAGTGAGGTCAGATATGCACAAGAAAGGACAAGTCGTAAGTGAAAAAAAGTTGCAATGCAATGTTTATAAAGGAGTTTAGCCGTCATTAAAATGACTTAATTATGTAAGATAGTTTTGGTACCAATCAGTTTTCATAAAGTCGGGCGACCAGACCACGATGGGTCTTTTGCCATCAAATTCCTACCACATTTGCCAGGATTTTGGGCACACAGAGACTGTCAGGCTCCACTGCTAAGTGTCTAGGCAGCAGGTAGTGAGGGATGGCCTGGCGAGGATTGCAGCAGGTAGGCAGCGCCATCTCCAATGGTGGGAAAGAAAAACCTTGAAAGTGAGTTAGTAGACGTTAAGGTCCCTTTTTATAACTAGGTGGTGTAAATTGCTCCAGGTATGAAGAAAATTCAGATTTAATTTTCCCAGCATGCCACTAATTTTTGCATGTGAAACTGGGAAAACCACTTGCCTCCTTTAGGCTGCAGTTCCTTATTTTTGGATTTGTGATGCCGCTCTGCCTCAGCAGCCTGGCCTGTGACAAATCAGGACCATTTGTGAGGTGTTTATATAATGGTGGGCTACGTGAAAAGGAAGTAGGTAAACCAGAAATGTTATTACTTTCACAAAATATTTATTTAAATTAACATTTTTCTGCAGTCTTTTCAATATTATGCAGATTTAACAGTAGTTTGTTTATTCAGTTGAACTGTAGATATACAACTAAAAGTAAGAAAAAGGGATCTTATAACCCGAACAAAAACTTTACCAGCATTTCCACTGGCCCGAATGAGCTGAGAATCCACCAGCATGCCTCTAACCCATGTGTAGCATCAGGAAAAAAAGAGGGAAGGAAGATGCTATCCAGCACTTGGGATGGGGACGTTTGCCACCAGAGGGAGTCGTGGGAATACAATACCAGTGGTTGTACTGGCACAGGAAAGGGCATTAGCTATTTTAGCCATGAGGCTTAACCGCCAAAGTTTTCTCTTTGGCCACAGCTAATTTTCTACCAATGCAACACGGCATGAAAATCAGCTTAAAAGTTTGGCTTTTGGCTAAACGTGCCTGGCTGCAAAATTTACTTGTTAAAAATGCTACCTTGATGTTTCATACTCAACCTTCGTAATATGTGCAAAGTATGTGCTCGCTCAATAAAACAAAATTGCTAAGTAAGCCACCCAAATTTTATGCCTGAAAATACAACTCTGGGACTGAAAAACAAGACGTGCTTTAAATACCGTGTACACTTTCACTGAATTAGTATAAAAATTGTGGTAATCTGAAATTTTCCTCGCAACTGCTTTGCTGGTGATAAAGCAGATTACATCTGATTGCTGTAATGGCTCTGCATTGCTGATAGCAGAATGAGCTAGAGAGCATCGTGCAACAAATACTTTGGCTCTGGAGATGAGTAGAGGGTGGAAGAAATGCAGCGCTGTTGTTACAGAATTATTCTTTTGACTAGATCCAATGTTTAAAGAGGTATGGGATCTTTTCCAAGTAATACTGAAGTCCTTTATACTGCCAGTATGGTTTAAAAGTGCCTTACAACAAGCAAGAACAGAAGCTGATATGATCTGATGCTTCAGCAAGAAAAAGAAGTCCTTTAGAGAAGTCTGTCCATTTAGTGCCTTCTTTGGTCTTATGTGCTACACTTCGACTCCCGATACTTCTGATACGTCCTTTAATATGGAAATCTTGTACACCCCTCCCTGAAATAACAAACCTATTAAAATTTTAGGAACCTATTCATTGCTCATTGAAAACTAGGTTCCCATAGCTGCACAGGGTTAAATGCTGTATGTCAGAAATATGAAGAAACAGCAGGCTGAAAAAGAACCCCAATAGCTCAGAAATAGCAATTTCAAGCCCTGAGGGTGCCCATGGATGTTTGTGCTGGTTTTGGCTGGGATAGAGTTAATTTTCTTCATAGCAGCTGGTATGGGGCTGTGTTTTGGATTTGTGCTGAAAACCGTGTCAATAACCCCGGGATGTTTCCGTCACCGCTGAGCAGTGCTCACCCAGAGCCAAGGGCTTTTCTGCTTCTCCCCCCACCCCACCAGCGAGGAGCCTGGGGGGGCACAAGGGGTTGGGGGGGACACAGCCGGGACAGCCGACCCCGACTGACCCAAGGGAGATCCCAGCCCGTAGGACGTCGTGCTCCCCATATAGAGCTGGGGGAAGGAGAAGGAAGGGGGGACGTTGGGAGCGATGGCGTTTGTCTTCCCCAGTCCCCGTTGGGCGTGCTGGAGCCCTGCTGTCCTGGGGATGGCTGAACTCCTGCCTGCCCACGGGGAGTGGGAACGGATTCCTTGTTCTGCTTTGCTTGTGTGTGTGGCTTTTGCTTTCCCTATTAAACTGTCTTTATCTCAGCCCACGAGTTTTCTCACTTTTACCCTTCTGATTCTCTCCCCCATCCCACCGGAGGAGGGTGAGCAAGCAGCTGGGGCTCAGCTGCCTGCCGAGGTTAAACCACAACAATCCCCTACAATGCTACGTGGCAGGTAAGGGGTGGTATTAGGTTATTTTATATGTAGAATATAATAAATATAATATATATATATGTTCGCCTCTGCTTTCCCCTGCCTGCTGCCTATACCCCCTTCCTACTAACCCGCTCACTGCTGCTTCTCTGTAGCACACACTTACACAATTTTCCTGCAACTCTCTGCCAAACCAAAGTTCATTTTAAGGCGAGAGTATGTCACAAAAGAGGTGCTGCTGAGTCTTTATGTATTCTTCTTTTTCAGTGTGGGTGAATTCTTTATAAGCTTACAGATTTCCTGCCTTTCAGGAATTGTGACATTTTTCATTCTACAGACTAAACATCATTATGATCTTTGCAATTTCCATCATCCTTTTCCCTTAAACTTACAATAAATTTGAGGCATAGAACTTGCAAAACCCAACCCAAACCATGATGATCTTGCTTTCTACCTTCCTTTTCATACCTAGCACAATGGAGCTGCTCTGGTAGCAATCTAGTCATTACTTTACTTTAAATTATGGCGCATACAGAATACCACCTGTTCATAAACACAAATATAACAATTAAGTAAAAAATATTTATAACATTTTTATTTTTACAACCTTCACACTTGCAGGAAAATTTAAAAAATAATTCAAAAAAGTAATTAATTTTAAAAGGAAAAATTAAAACGGAATATATAATTTGGCTCAACTAGGTCATTGTTAATATTCGAGACTATTGATATGATCCTCATTCATTTTTCTGGGGTCTGAACATGGAATTTCTTGTAAGGATCCATGGACGGAATTTCTTCACAGTTTGCAGGAGTAGTAGTGAATCTCTTTTGCTGATGATCTTATACTATAACTCAAGCAAACTTTGTAGGTGTTGCTTTTCTTGCACTTTGTACTGGAGAACAGCAGAATCTGCAAAGATTCATTGATCCTGCTGTACATTCTTCTCTGTCTGCTTTTTGTTCTTCGGTCCAACAAACCATCATGGGTTGTATCTATAGATCACAGCTCCTGTGCTTAGTGTTTGGGGGGCTGTTATAGGACATATGTAATGGACCTGCAGTGTTGTGCTTTCTGGAGCTCTAGAAGGCAGATATACTTGTGGAGGGAAGGAAAATAACTTGATTTTTCTTTAAAATCAGCTAAAATCAGTTCAACACATTCAACAGTACTTACATGGCTCCATAAAGCAATATTAAATGCAGTTACTGCCCTTATCTGCCCCTTTGGAAATGAAGAGGTATAGTCACACCATTTTAAATTGTCCACATGGAAAATTGTGGCCTATTTCAATTCACGGGTTCAAAATATATGTTGAAACTTGCAGCTGACCAGGTATTTCAATGATTGATTATTTTACCTTAAAATTGATCGGAAAGGGTTTTGGTTAAACAGCTGCCCCTATAGTTTTATTCATTTTTAAGTGTTAGTAAAACATGTTTCTCCACTTTTTACAAAGCATTCCTTTAAATTGATTAAACTTAATTAAGTACAAGTGGAGAAAAATGGCTCATTTTTATGAGATAAAATTCTTAGTTCAACTATCATTTTGATTCACTCTGGACTTTAATGCTAGAGTATCTGTTTGAATATGGTATTTTTTCATATATAATACTTTATAATGTCCTTATATAAAATATTAAGTGTTCCAATATTAAAAAATCATAGTACTTCAGCATAAATAGAATTCTGATTTTACTTTTTTATCCCTATTTGGAGTGAAACATTACAATTTCCACAGAAATGAACGTTCCATTTTATTACATGTTGTATTTTACTTGTTTGAAAAATGCCACTAAAACCAATTCAAGCCTGAAAATTCTTCTTATCATGAACAAGAAGTTCATAATGACATGCTTGGTGCCTTGTTAGCTTGAAGATAGTGAATCAGATTCTGTGAAATGCTTAGTTTTGTAAGTAATTCTTAAAAGCATGACTAGGCCAAATCCTTTATCTTTAGTAATGTTGGTCCCAAAGCTAGTTAGTTCCCCAAAAGTCAAACGAGAAATACACAGATGGGGGGCAGAGGGTGGGGTAGGTGGGGTGCATTTCTTTCTAATTTAGCAAGAA